GGAAGTGTAGATAGATTGGGCATCCAGTGAGAAGGTCGAGTGGGGACATCCCACGTCAGGTCGGCACCTCTAGTGGAATGCAGATTGGGAGTGAGGAGTTGGGTGTTGGAGGTGAGGATGACATGGAGGAGATTGTGTGTGAGGAAGAAATGAGAGGTTGTGGGGGTGTTGTGTAGCCAGGTTGAGAATATTGCAGAGAAGAGAGTGGACTGTTGATGTGCTAGTGAAGCCCTATATTCCATTAGGAACCCAAAGGATAAATAATAACAATAGTCAATCAATCAATACAGTACTCTGAAATCTGTCAATAATGAAAACAGAATTTCTTTTGTTTACAGGCACTAGAAGTGATAAATAGGCACAGTATGTTTGAAAAGTGTCTAACTTACTTTAGAAAAGCCTATTAAAATTACCCTCATGTAAACTTCAATGAATGGGCTATTTGAATAACAAACAAACATCATTATCAAGAAATACTAGTCAATACCAGTTTAACTTTATTGAAGAATATTTTTATCAAAACAGAGGTGTTCATATAAGCTTATAGCTGAGATGAACATTTTGTTTCATAAAAGGTGTCTCATACAACTACAAATAATGGTCTAGGGTTATTTTTTGTACTAAATGGTGGAAAGAAACAAATAATCATGCAATGATGAGATTCATTACACAAGAAACGAAATAGAATAATTCGAGAGGTAAGAAATCAGTATAGCCTTCCATGGAATACAAACAATAAAGAGACTTTTGTATAGGTAGTTTTCAAAACTTGGACATATAATAGATTGTAAGCTTTTATGAGTTTGTATAGCTAGATAACCCCCGAAAATCGATAGCCTAACCTTCTAAAAGATTCAACGTTGATGCTGATCATTGATAGTTGTTACACTGAAAGCATACGATCAAGTATCTTCACCATTTGGCATGTTATCTATGAAGTACAGAATTCCAACTGGACAGGTTTTTGATGTGTGATTTAAAATCAGTAGTAAACTGTCTTGTTAATTACTGACATAGTGTAGTAAAATTTCTGTAAAGTATTTAATCTACTTGTCAGAGAATACAAAGATGTTATGCTATACTCATAGTAACATTTGTAAGACAATAAATAATCTTTAATAATGTGGATAGTAACATTACCTAAAGCTTAGAAATCTGCTTAAATATACCGTAGAAAATGATAATCTGCTACCTACTATCTACACAAAATTTAATCTATGATTAAAGTATATTTAAAAGATCACGTTTTCCCTAGCTGTTATAAGATTGCTTACTAAAGAACCAATATAATTTCAATAAAACAGGTTTTTAGTTACAAATGCCATAACCATGTTTACATGAAGTTATATCACAAAGCTTCGATACATACTAACTTGATTAGTGCTACTGAGGTTTAAAACCCACCAACAAAAAAATGTATTTCAATGCTTGTATACTGAATACAGAGTCTTTAGTTGACTTTTCAATAAAAATTGTTTAAAAATTATCCTTAAAGTTCACTTAGATTAAGTGGTTCACTAGAAAGAATACTAGGCAAGTATTTATACCCTCATAATTTATTCAAAAATGACTTCTGTTGTCCAAAAATTTCATTCATAGCTTGCTCTGAATGATTTCATTGAAATAAGAAAAGCTCAATCACTGTCATACATGTACATTTTTAAGTTAAATACCCAAAATGTTGTATGTGTTCTAGATCCTAAGACTTTTGAAATGGTTACCTGAAAGTATATGGATACATTTGAAAAATATTCAACAAACTTCTTGAATTGATACCAACTTAACAGCCTAAATAATGACGGAAACTGCATGTTTGTTTACAAAGTTTTATTACTGATACTGAATGATGTATGAAAATGAATTAAATATCTGGTAAGCGGCAGAAATCGATTTATTGGCCTAGGTTTTTAACTTCATCCTCATTAATCACCCTGTATCACTGGAAGTCTGCCAAACCAGCTGTGTCTCAAATAATCAAACTGATAATGATATGAGTATTATTATCTACTTTATAAAGCTTTATACGGGCTAACTGCACAAAATGACTACTATAAATTCATTCGACCTGGTTATTCAAACACCCTTCTCATGCAATCATAGCTCAACTATGTTGTTATAAGGAATTTCTTATAGATACTTATCTTTCCATCAGTCTTATCTCCATTATATGAAAAGTAATTCTTCATTCCCCCTTTCTCTCCAGAAGGACAAACTAAGCCCAGAACGCATCCAGAAACATTTGAAAAGAAATGTTCAAGGACTTAGGTTGAAAACATACGGAAAACGACTGGTTGCGCTGTATCTATATCCTCTGAAGTACAGGAGGCTAAGTGAAGACTTGATGATAGCTCACAACACTCTCATCACGCCTGGCCACCCACTCCGTCACTTATTAAATCTTAGCTGTAGCACTAATCTTAGAGGACACGCACAGAAACTAGGCCTGATACATAGCAGGCTAAATAAATAAATGAATAAATGTTTTATTCTCAAGTTAAAAAAGTTTAACATGGGAGAAGCCAGTTTAAAGGCTTCATCACGTTCATACATCTCAAAATATTTACAAGACTTGAGCTCTGAGTAGCACTGACGGAATATCATAAAACTCAATTAAAAACTGCAGAAGTTCCTGCTAGTTATCAAACAAACAAGGAAATATAACTTTACAGCTTACATAGAGTGTTAAAGTTTAGATAATAATAGTAGATATTGTCTTCATTTAACGGGTTTAACATAAGGGGTGCCAGGCACAACTTCTATTCCCTAAGAGTTGTTAAGTCCTAGAACGCTCTTCCTGGAGATATGATCCAGACTACTTCGTCTGAATCCTTTAAAGGCCGACTGGATACCCACTTGACTTGTGAACAGGATCTGCCCAGAACTAACAGAATTTTCACATTTTAATCGCCACGTTTTCCTTTTTCTTTACTTGTACATAGGTTAACAACCTTTAGGAGTAGTGATCCATGGATTGTAGACGCGGAAGCCAGTTAAGTGAAAGCTTCTTCTATTCCTTCAACAACCGTTTGAACCGTTTGAGTTGAATTTTGATTTTTCACTAGTTTTGTGGCGATTTAACTTAACTAAAGGATTCACGAGATATGAATACAAACATAGCTATGCTCCAAATAGTATTGCAGCTATGTCCAATTTCTAGTCAGTAGGTACTTATTTAAATGACGATATATGAAGTCGAGTTTACAAGGCAACACCATGTTGACAGAGTAGAAATAATCCCAGAAATTAGCAGTCATAAATAGTTAAGGTGACTAGTTGGCCAGCGTGTCAAATCACAAGCGATGAAAGTGAACAGTTCCGTGTTTTATACTGAAAGTGACATAGTGAGGCGTATTCGGATGATATTATGGTGCTAAGCCAGAAACTTAATAATAGCTGATCTTGATGGCAACTTAAGTAGAAATTGCTGCATATAGCTTCTTAATTCAAAACTAACTCATCCTCATAAACCATGGATGCAACAATAATTTGATTACTTTACCTAGTTTTTATTTCTCATCTTCATGTTCCTCTTTCCTTCCATTTGTCTGTCACTTATTTGCATCTTCTGTGTTCACGTCACTTTATCTTCTTTATCTGTTTTCACTCCAATCCCTTGCATAACTAAGTTCCTATTTGAAGGCTTAATAACTTGTTCTCGATCAACAAAGAGGATATGCGTTGCAGTAATACCAAGAACAAATGTCAGTATCTAAGCACACTGCATTGTAACAAAAAACTACGAAACAGAGGTAAAAATTCAATCCAAATAGAAATAGCTGCTGTAATTTAAGACGAAAAATGCTCGAATAAATTCTAAGACTCTTCCTCTGGATTTCAATTAAATATTTTAAAACTTTTATTTTCTTTTTGTCTAAGATAAAACGAATGAAAGTAACAAAACTGGGAAATACCCTGCCAAATAAACACAGAATCATCGTAGTAAAATGTGCATATTCTATACGCAAGTGGTAGGCACATCCAGCTGACGAGTCCCAAGCAGGGTGAAATGTGCATCCTGGATTCCACTGCTAGTCACCATCTATCATTGCTATAAAAGTGGTGATCCTAATATATAAGACATTTCGGTAGTTTTATTCAGACTGCATCACCAAACATTTTGACGAATAACTTTCAAAAAGTGAAGAAAACGTCTGAAGAGAATCATACACGTCAGAAACCAATTTCTCCTAAACCTTAGGTAATAATGTAGTGGTCAGCTGTCCACATGATTTATTCACATGCTTTCACCTTATTCAACAGTGCATCAGCACTCAATATCAATATCACGTATTTAGAAGACTGCTACTTTTGATCTTTGACGTCTAGTTCTTAGGGTTCTTCTTGTTCGGTTTTGCTCCCGTAAAAAGTAGGAAAACCTCTTCTGCTTTCCCACTTCTACTGTGGTGGGCGGATTTCATAAATTTTTATTTTCAGCCTTTAGACTGAGTTGATTACATAGCTATGGATCCCTTAGAAGCTTTAGTGTCTTTCTCGACTTCTGTTTGTAAATGAGTGAGCCTGGATGGGAATAGCTAGAGAGTGTTTAAGGGTAAATAGGACCTTCCCGAAGAGTGAAGGAAGACAGTATTAGAGTATTTACCAAAGACGAGTTGAAGGATGAAGTAGATAAATAAAAAAACAGATGGAGTAATAAATAACAGAAAAATAGTAGCGTGCAAGTGAGGTTGGTAGTACCCAAAGTTCGTCAATAGTATACCATACAAACTAACATAATTTCATAACCTCCCTTTGAGTGATTTCAGTGAGGGGACTTTGACTACACTGTGAGATAAATTATCCCATAAAGCAATACCCTTCAGGAAAATAAGTTTGACCTGTATATGTTGTTGGTTCTCAGATATTTAAAGCAAGACGCCTGAGTTTTGAATTTTTAAGATCAGAAAAGCAGAAAAATAATTTTCCCAAGGAAACTGAAGGAAAATAGCCATGGTCATCACATAACTAATGCGATCAGTTAAAAAATCAAAAGTAATTCTTACCGCGACATCACATATACAAGTTTCTAAGAGAAACATTTAGCTTCATATTACTGTCAAGTTATTGATTAGGTAAAACAAACTTGTGAAACATGGTTTGTTTGTAACCAGTTCAACCTTCATTTCCAAAAGTTACAGTTTGCCTTTTTTCAGCTAAGTATCCACCTATGGTTTTCTAAAACACAGTTGAAGTGAGAATTTTCTCGCTGAAACTTGGAGTTTAGGGATATAATGCGATGAGCCTATAATAATACTTTTGAAGTAGGTCTATGTGTTTTTTTTAGCCTTTGCTTAAATGAGCGAACTAGTGGCTCAGACACTACTTCTAGGAGTAAGTCTCAAGAGTTGATTACTTGACATGGAAACCACTCCTTTTCGGAGGTTACGTTCGCCTTTTGTTATTGTACACTCCTGCTATGTCCTCTAAGATGTTCCAGTCTACTAGAAAGGGGAACAGATGATGAACTAAGTACACAGTTATCTCCTGAAGTCTTGTGTGACATGAGTAAATCACCCTCTGTCTGTGAAGAGACAAGAAGGAGAACTTCGGCTCCTGGAGCCGTTCTTGGATGGTCAACCCAGTCGCTCCAAGTATCAAGCAAGTGATCGTCCTACGAATTCTTTCCAGAAAGGCTGAGTCACTTTCTAAACGAGGACATGCCACGCGTGCTCAATCTTTCAGTTTAGTTTAACTAAGGAATTGCTGAAGGTGGTGAACATACCACTGCTCACAGTAGTAGAAGTTCCACCTAATTCCTTGAGTGTTTCGAAACTCCTAGCTACAGGCATTTTATATTTAGATTAATAAATAAATATTCCATCCTCGCATTGTCAATCTAACCTGAAGGAAACCGGTTTACAGGCATCATCACACTGACATGTGTCAAAAAATCTACGAGATTCTACTAGTCCTAAATGATATGGTGGGTAAGTCACGAAACTCTGTTAAAAACATCGGAAGATCCTACCAGTTATGAAATGAACAGTGGGCTACCGCCTTTCCGGGTATACAGAGTGTTAAAGTTTAGGTAGTAATGATTCTTATCCTCAGATAACGGATCAATTATGAGAGATACCAATTTACAAGCCTCATCAAAATGATAATTCTTGAAAGTTTGTAATTTGGCATTTGGTATTGGATAATTCACGCATCAAGTCACTGATGTGCATAATCTTACTACAACTTATTGAAACATGCTGCAATTTATGAGATGAGCATGGATTTTCACCTCCTATCATACAGATAAGTTCCACTATGGGGAGCAAGTGTGCGATGCTCGGAGTTTGCGTTATAACTAGCCGACGTTGTCAGTCCATTTGCACAGTCTGTTATCTAGTTACATAATCGTTTATTCATTGGAAAGTTCTCCAGTTTTTAGCTTCGCTAACCACAAAGGGCGCAGGTATACGATCTGGAGTGTCAGTAAAGTGTCCAAAGTTATATGACCATGGTGGGTATGTAAATCACTTCATTTCCGGCTCACCATGTTACAATTAATGGTAACATAAATTATTGCCGTCGGGAATACTTATTGCAGTGCACGAAACCAGAAATTGAAAAGGTGAATGGTCCAAATGGCAGCAGTTGTACATAGACTTCAGGCACCTTTCGTATCAATGTGAGCAGAAGTGTATCCGAGTCATAGTAACTTCCATTTGAAAGATTACTTCCAGTATCGAATATCTTCCTGCCAGCTAGTGTAAACCAACTGGTTTCTTCGCGCTCGCTTCTGGGTCTCGCGGAGCGGTTTCGGGTCTTCGGTGGATTCTGATGCAGTAGGTGTACACACTCGACTGCTGTAGCTCCGGTTAGACCGATGGGCTGTTGGGTGTTGGCTAAATTTGTAGGGAGCGTTGTTGTTTGTTTGTTTTTCTTCCAAAGACTGCGGAGCAGATGGGTTCCTGAAGTGTCGTACCAGCAGACAATTGGTGGAACTGGCTGTAAAAAGGAGATGGAAAATCCGCTCAAAGAGATCAAGGGAGAGAAGGTGCAAAGAAAAAAAGTAACCGAGAAGGAAAACGATGAGGAAAACGGAAAAGCAAAGTCAGTAGGAAGAGAAGGAGGAAATAGCACCATATGGCTGGTTATGGAAAACGAGATAGTAGTTCTATTAGTGGGAGACGGTAACTGGAGGTGATGTCTGTAGGGAAGTATAAGCTTCAGCCGGGCCCCCAGTGACAGTGGTGTTACGAATTATTCGATAATGGATTGGCCGTGGTGAGCTAGTAGGTCGTGTCAGCTTTGTCCATATCCCAGCTAGATGAGTGCAAACCGCGCGTCACTGCGTAACTGTCCAACCTCTTGTTGAAGCTGTCAACACACGGTGCAGTAGCAATCTCAGTAGGCAATGCGTTCCAGTGGCCGCAAACTAGCAGAGAGAAAAAGTTTGACCGCGCACGGGTCTTGTCCTTCGGTGGGCGATCCTCCTTGGGATACCACGAGGATCGCCACAAGACCGTTTGGCGGGATTTCACCGTCAGGATTACTTGGGTTACTTAGTGTTTTGTAAGCCGTTATTGAGTCACCACGTAATCTTCGGTAGCTTGAAGAGTAGAGTCCTAGATCTTTCAGCCTGTCCTCATAAGGTTTTCGCTTCATACAGATTAAGAGTACTAGGCCAGTCGTGTTCTGAGCCAACAGGCGAACTGGTCTCTGGTTCAGTCATCTGTTCAGAATTCTGTAGTGTTCTTTACTCTTCAGACCGCGGCTTTCTGCAACTGCCGTGTCACTGCAGATCGACAACGAGGTTACAGCAGTCCCATCGACGCCGCAGGTGTTGTTGTCTGTACACCCCATGTGCAAGCTCACACTCTTACTCATCTTAATAGGCATGAGCCACTTACTTCACCGTACTAAAACACCTTTTAGTTCGCTTAAACTGTACGTAGATCATTATGCCTTGTTTCTCAACAAATTTGTACACCATCAGCGTAGAGAACCACAAGGGACTTCATGATGTTCGGCAGTTCATTTGTGTACGTGAGAAATGGTATGGAAACCTTCCCCATACTCTGGCGCCCCCGCCCTGCACGAACTTCTGGGAGGGGAGCCGGGAAAGTGGCCCTCACTATTTGTTCTCCACCAGCAAGGAAATCTCTGATCTATGCACGTAGGCTGCCAGTGATTCTGAAGCTTTTCAGCTTCATGGGCAACCTCGAATGAGACGCCTCGTCTGATGCTTTACTTAGACCTGTGAAAATAATATCCATAGACGACCTGTCATCCTGAGACTTAACTCGAGATAAACTCCAGCAAAAATTACCCCTATAATATGATAACAGAGTGCTGTCTTCTGGGCAAACTTTCATAGATTATCTGTTTCCTTTTTCTAGGAGGTTAACTAGAGTTTTAGCCTGTCTGTCTGTAAATTCATGGGTGTCCCCCAGACCGCTTTGTGGACAAGTATGACTCTACCTTTCAGTTGCATGACAGTACACCCTCACGGGAAGATAGTCGAAATATAAAAGTTAGCAAGGCAACTGGGTACGGCTTGACCTCTTCTAGCAGCTCTAAGCGATACTCGCCTGGCCCTATTGATTTTCCTGCATGCAGATCATTTAATTTTCATAGCACGTCATTGCAGTCCACAGAGTTTATTCTGTTAATGCTTCTACTGTTGAATTGGCGTCCGTATAAAGTTCGTGGGTAAAGAACGCGACTAAATATCCGGCCATAGCTTCTGCTAAGTTCATATCGTCTTCAGTCGAATGACTACTTTCCGTTTCTCTAATTAGGGCAGGCACACCACGACAAGTTTCACTACCAAAATTCATACCAGAAAGAAGCCTTTTTACGTTTTCTGCCGTAGCATGGAACGTATTCCAAAACCGTATATACTCACACTACATTTGTCCTGGGCTTTTTTATTATCTGTATCCGCCTTGGGAGAGCCAAGCTTAGTGGCAGGACTCCAGTACGTTCTCTTCGGCTACGATGGACCCATGGTTTCTCGATGTTCTCGCGATAAAGGTTTCTCATCCCTTGAGCACGTTTCACTCAGTGGGGTATTACTCAAGCGTATAGGTTCGTTAGAGAACGGTGCATTCCCCACTGCGCCCTCCGAATTGGCTGCCCAAACACCCGACAGTTCTATCAGGGTGATAGCTGCTATGTTCACCCTCTTCATGTTGAGCCTAGCCTAGGTATCGGCATGTCACAACACGGCTGCTGTGTATCCAAGGATGATCACACCATGGACACTTCTACCGAGAGACTCGAAGCACAAGACGGAGCTCTCATCATCTACCTGAGGGAATATTAGGCCAAGAAACGATTGGGCGTGCTGATGACCACGTTGGATTGTAGCTGTTAGTGACTCGGGATTTACATGGGCTGTCCGATATCCTTGTGACGCAGTAGGAAAACTTCAGATCCCTTAGTACTTCTCACTTGATGGGGAGGGACGGTCTCAGATCCCCAGGAGAATCGTAACCGGCAGATCTTCTGTAGTTGGATGAAGTCCAGAGGATGATTTTTGCTGATCTGCTTCGCAAAGAAGTATATTGTGTGATTCGAAAATCCACAGTGACAGAATCTGAAGATGATATGTCTTCGGGCAGTCTTTCAGCGCGACGAGTGGGGGGAAGAAAAAAGATCAGTGGCCCAGTGAACAAGCTGCAAACGGATAAAGCACTGGGTCATTTTCATTGATCCGTTTTGTTGTCGCTAGAACACAGTCTACAAAAATCTGCATAGCCATATTATGCCCTCGTTTTAAGGCTGCTATCTGATAGGTCTCCGACCATGCACCTTCTTTAGGCCATCAATATAGCGTGAATGTAAAGCAAGGAAACGTGTCCTGGTCCTCAAGTAACTGCCACTTCCTCTAGAACTTCCGCAATAGAACCCCGTTAATGTTTCCTTGCTTGGGCCATCTGGATTACCCCTTATTTTGTAGATTACCAATACGCAACCTCTCGCCCCCCAAGAACTCAGGGCATTAGGAGCCACTCTCGAACTACAGCTTTCATATAGTCTGTACTACATTTTCACAGCAGATTTCGTTGTCCCACTCCAAATCCTTACCAAGATTCTTTCT